TTAAAATTACACAATGCTAGACACAAAAGGGCCTTATCATAACTGCTTAATATTAGACACTCTAAACCTGAAGCAACTCAGACTTGTGGGTTTCCTCGTCAGGGGAAGCACTCAGAATACCATCAACATACTGAGTGATCACAGTCAGTTGAAGCCACGTGATACCCTGTTCTGGATAGTCATTACTTGTAATGCTGCATAGCATCCCAACCCAACAGATCTGGGATAGAACCACCCACATTCGCATGATAAGAGCACGTAAATGGTAGAATCAATGTTAAAATCTGGTACTCAGCAAGTAAAACTCGCTGCCCCAATACTCCTGTGGCCTCCTTCCGTCTCCCCATATACATAACTCTATAGCACACTGTGAAGTGAGACAAGCATGACAGTAGTGCTCCAGTATCCCATAACAGAGAAACCAACACACCATTAACAGTACACTTTAGGTTTAACCCCTTCTACGCACTGGACTGGGACAGACTTAGGGAGGCTATGAGGGATTTACAGGATCTAATCTTTAGGTAAACAAATCCCTCACAAGACTGTTTATTCTCCCCAGACAAAGCTCTTAGCTGGTTGATACATTTTTCACTGTTCTTCCCTGTCAGTTGAACCACAGGGCAGGTCCTTGCTTCCTTTATCCTACATGCACTTTCTGCACTATCTGGTTTCAAGCCATTCAAATAAATTCAACTGCTGTTTCAACTCTTAGAACTAATTGTATATAAATACAAAAACTGTTTATCTAACTCATTTAAGTCCACCTGTACTGTACTTATACGTTTCAGACACTCTTATATTTTCCAATCTCTTCAAGTTGATTTTCGTCAAGTCTCTTTAATTACGTCTCTAGCCAGTCCAGCTGGCTAAAAGCACTCGCACCGCCATTTAGTACGCACTGCGGTCTTTTACACACACACACACACACGTACATGCTGACACACAAATTCATAAAACACACATACAGATCAAGAATATATTTTTCTCTTCGTATTACAATGCGCTGTATTTTGTTTCACATCAACATGTATCCTTTCTCCTTTTAACAGCGTAACTTCTCATAAATTCGACATCACTTATTATCCATGTTTATTTTTTTTACCACTGCTCAGACAGTCCTGCTCAGACCAAAAACCATCTGACAGTCTGTACCCCTTTCTCAGCATTCGATCCTCCTGCACAGGCTCTTTTCACTTTTGTTTTAACTCTTTGTAGCGAGTAAAGTATCTTTTCTTTCATTTATTTCTTTTGGGTTTTTTTTTCTCCTGTAAACACACTTTTTAGTAAACACATTCCAATTTCTCTTTCTTTTTTTCCCTCACGTATCTGCCACCACTGGTGTGGGCCGCGTACCAGGGTGGTAGCTACATCCTTGTGCTTTTGCCAATACTCATCTGCTTTCTTTACAGGTCTCTTCGCCCCAAACTCCTTCTGACAAACTCAGCTTCTTCTTGAATTTTTCTTACTTTTCCGACAACTTACACTTTTCCGATATATAATCAGACAATTACACTACTTTCGCAAACACCCAGATAGCACACATGTTCGGTTTCTTTAAGAGTTACTTTGTCATGTGTGAGGTAACAGCTCATACAGTAGGGGGATGCCTTCACTTGGAAATCCTGTGCATTCCTGCTCTTATTCAACTACGGGCGTCTGTTACCTTCAGATCTAAATGCCTCTCAGAGTCTTTAGAGCGGACTTACACAGCACTGTTCCAGGCAAGAAACGAGACCTCGAAAACTCCCTTCCTGGATCAGTAATTCACCATCCCAGAACACCAGCATTGCTGCTTTTGCCCCGGGGTGGACTTAAGCACTGAGCTCCAGTCAGAGCTATTCTCAGATCTCAGCGTCCTTTGAACTTGCTACTTAGTGCTGTTCTCTTTTATTATGAGGTGTGTTTATGTTAGTGTTGTGCATGTGTATATGTTCACAAACAAGGAAAACACATAAAAACATACATATATATCTTCTACTTCTCTCATATTCCCTTTAAAACATCAAAACCCACCCTCCGCCAATCCGTGCACGATCAAGGCATAGCTCATCTCAGGACTCCTGAGCGCAATTAAGGCCAAACCAGTCCTGGATTATACGTGCATTTAAAGCACCACTACAGCTTCAGAACTCCTGGGCACATTTAAAGCCCAACGCAGTTCTAAGCCTCAGAACTCCTGTGCGCAATTAAGGCCAAACCACTTCTGGATTATGTGCCTACCTTAAGGCACAACTCAGTTTTAGAACTCCTGTGCACATTTAAGGTCCAACCCAGTTCTGAGCTCTGTGGTAAAGGTCCAAACCCGTTCAAAAACTCCACACGCAATTAAGGCATACACCAGTTTCAAACGCCTCTGCACAATACTGCTGATCACCGCCTGCCAGACCAAATTCTGGGCTTACAGCAAGCCACCCATTACATACACCGGTGTCTTCCCCGGGCCAGAGGTATTCAGGAACTCACGTTAACTCCATCATCTCGGGTGATTCTCGCAGGGAGCAGAGACTTCCTAATCAGTCAGACGAGAGTCTGGACTTTTTTTAAAAAGAGGAGTCCTTACCTCTTAGTAATGTGCGCGCTGACTGTCTCTCCTGCCGATGGGAAGTTCTGCGTCTTCTGGAGCATCCGCCGACTACGCCAAAATTGTTGTAAAAGAAAGAATAAGGTTCTGGATCCCGAGATGAAGTTAAACAGAAGAGTTTACTGCATGAAATGAACAAAAAAGCCAAAGTCATGTTTCTCGCAAGAAACAACAAAACCGAAGTATTGTTCCAAGTGCCGGTACAAACTTTTAGTTTATATAGCCCTTCCTTGCCACTTCTGATGTCACTCGTTATTATAGTAAAGGGGGGAGGTCATGTGTTTGGCCAGTTTACAGCCTTTTGGCCAAATGGTCAGGGATTAAGTCCCCAGAGAGTTTCCTAGCTCACATCTGGAATCCTTATCAGTTAACCCCCTTCCTGCCATAAACTCCAGCCTTAGAAGTCTAATCTTCATGCAGAAAGGACTTAAAATTAACCTCGTCTTCACATCTTGTATCCTACTTCAGTAGGTATTGCAAGCATTCACAAAACATTCAGTTCTTGGATGTTGTTGTCCCTAGTTAAATAAATGTTATGAACACAACTCTAACGGCATCCAATAATAATAATAATTATAAGACCCAGTAGAAAAAATATATAGAATTTATGGAAGTGTTTTTAAATTCTGTTTGTGTCTTTAATGATTGGGATTAGACTCTGAATATACTGTATGTGTATGTGAAAATGTTTTTATACTGTACTTCACCAAAAATACAAACACCAGCAACGAAGTCCTGAGTGTGACGAGTAGTTACAAAATGTTTTATTCTTCTCTTTTTAGGAAAGTAAATTAAATCAGATCTGTTCTGTTAATTTGTATGAATTCTTTTTTTTTACAATCCTAGGTGTTTATGCAACAGATTCTTGTGCAATTTAGTTTTAGCTGAGATCTGAGCAGCTGATTACTCTAAACACGATCCTTTCCTTTCCTATCACTATCCTGTTCCCAGGGTGGTTTTGTTGCTGGCTACACAATTGCAATTTCTGTTTCTAATTTGCTAATACTGGCACTGACATTGATACTAACAACACATCAGTATTGTTTTTTTTAGGTGGAGCAAGTACAAGTAAAAGTATATGAATACTATGAATTACTATTCAATGCTGTGAAACAATTTACGTCTTGGGGTCCTAAATATTTCAGAGGACTAAAATTAAAAACTTTTACCAGGACTGGTCCAGCTGGTCTCAAAATCGAGCCATGCCAGGATTCCCCAGGGTTAACTTGTGCTTGTCTGTTATTACAGGAGAAAGCATAGCTACCAGTAACAGCCCACAAGATGGGGCACATCCAGGACCACTGGAGGAGCGTGGGGATTGTTAAGAAACGCCTGCGCATGACAGGGAGGGATGAATCTGCAGAGGAGAGGGATAACGTCTCTTTTCCATCTCTGAACAGTACCCTCCATTTCACAGGTCAGATCAGCATCTCCCACACATCTGCACTGATTTTCTTTCTCACTTTCTTCCACCACTTTCTTTCAAGGTCAGGTTTTTTTCCTTCTTCTAGAGCTTTTTTACTGATGTCCTGAGGCAGAAGCCTTTCACTGCTGTAGTCAAATCAGTGGTGACCAAACTGATCACAGAACGTTTCCCCACTCTTTTGTGACCTTTAGATGAGCTGTCCCCTGCCCTTAAAGGGGACAAATGGTCCAGAGCACCCTGGGCTGCAATGCTTCTCTAGGCCGGAGCTGGCCCTCACCCAGAGCCTTCAGTTTCTGGCCTCTGACAACTGGTAGGCATAAAGCAGTACAATCAGCATCCACCTATTCCGTTTTCTATGAATACAATTCTGACTAGTGAAAATACAGACCTTGTTGCCCATAGCTCTATACAGTTAGACCTCTTTCCTTGTCCTGGTTGATATATTTCTTTCCGTTCACTGAATTCAGGGAGAGGAAGGTTGACGGACTGACCTTCATAAGGCGTCTGTCCCAACACCACCCCGCCATCCTGATCAGCAGACTGCACAATGTTTCCCAGGCGCTCGTGCAGGAGGTGTGATCTCTCCAAAATATTAATTGTTCATTTGTATGATTGCTTTTCACCGTTTTTGTATCCATTCTGATCCATTTATAGAGAACGGTTCAAGAGAGGGGCACAGACGAGGCTCTGCAGTGCTAACAGTGGTTTGCCTTTCTCCAGGTGAAGAACTTGCGATCAGTTGTGTCTAGGATGGCAGTGATGTGTCTGGGAGACATGTTCACCTACCTGCAGCAAGGGATGGACCTGGAACTGGGCAACACAGTTAAGGTGCTGCTGCACAAAGCCGGAGAATCCAACATCTTCATCTGACAAGGTGTAGACAGCACACTGGACTACATGGTGCAGAGCTGTACTCCTGCTCGTGCAATCAACGCGCTGCTGAATGGAGGTCTGAGGTGAGGGCAGAAATATACAGAATAGAATAATACCCAGAATCTTAGGGTCTGACTGAGCTTGAAATCAAAGCATGTATTAAAGAATGTTTACTACAATGTTAATATCCATTCGTTTTCTAACCACTTTCTCCAATTTAGGGTCATGGGGTAGCTGGAGCCTATTTCTACAAACAGTGGGTGTAAATCAGCCCAAACCTCGGACTTGTCAGCAGTCCATCACAGGACAGACACAGACACCTGCACACTCACACCAGAAACACATGAGAACACACAAGCAGATAGCACCCCAGGTCCGAAATTGATCCCATTGGTTACTGCGTGGCAGTATTGCTAACCACTGTGCCACCATTCTGCCATACAATGCTGACATACCTAACAAAAATGAAAAAACAACATGAGACAGCGAAATACAGACTTTTATAATTTAAAAAGCAACCTGGTTAAGCATTGGAAAATGAGGGTCACATGGATAGGCGACAAGCTGATATGGCTTCAATCAAACTAACAGCTCAGTAATATACAATACACCTGAACTCCAGAGTGAGGGCGTGTATGGCACATCACCTGGCAGACCTGGTGGAGAGGATGGGTGCACGTAACCTCCCCAGGGACATCACCAACCGCATCCTGCCTGCTGCCACTCGGCTGGCACAAGACG